GTTTGGGACCCCTGCTGTTTAGGGTAGCAGTCTCCCCATGTCCAGATAGCCGCAAGCCAGCTCAGCGCAAATGGGGAGACTCCCCTTCTCAGTGGGGCGCCTTCTGCTCTCCTCCCTGACTTACTTTTGAAATGCCCGTCACAGATACATGCCCTCCGGCACAGAAACTACCAGGCTTTAATCAGGCATTATCTGATAGCCTGATAGAAGCCCACCGCCCTATGTAAATGAAGCATTCCAGGAGCACCTATCAGCTAAGGCTTTTCTACTGTCTCCACACTATAAATAGTCCTAGTTTTACCTCAATAAAGCTGGAGCTGAATCACTGTGATTTGAGCTGAGTCACTTGTCTGAAGCTGTAACACTAAATCCTGTGATCCAGTCTCCCCGGGGGGCGCTATCCTTCCGTCATCGACTCACAAAGACCCTGCTTTCGCCGTTTTTCGCACCTCCCCTCGGGACCTGGTGGCCAACAGGTCTCGAACTTAGAGGGAGTGCACGGTGGAAATTGAAACGGAACCCGACCGGGCAGCTGACAGCGGTCTTAGAGCCACCAGCTCCGGTAGCAGAGACCCTCAGCAACATGGTGCGCGAAACCCGCGCACCCCAGTGGCGGAGAGCCAGGGACCCAAACAGCAGATGCGGCCGGCGGGACCTGCCACACTCCAGCGACATGTGGGAGACCGGCGCCACGCCCAGCAGCTGGCGCCCCGAGATCCCCGCACGCCCATATAAGTTAGTCAGAGGAAGAGGCTGGAGAAGATTACAGGTGAGGGGGTCCCTCACTAAAGGACACTGTGGCTGAGAGAGAGCCAAACCAACTCTACACTGTTTCAGACTACTGCACTCACAGACTGACAGCAATACGGCTACTGGCACAAGACCCACACAAGATCAGGCCAGTCATTATTCTAGCATGCAGTGGGGAGGGGTTCTTGAGTCTCCACGCCTATGAGGAGCTGTGAAAGGCTGATGACTTCTGGGGAAGTAGGAGTCAGTGTTCTTTAAGGGTGTGGCTCCTGGCAGGTCGACAGCACTCCAGTAAATGACCACATAATCAGAAACAGATTTTTATTGACTTTTTTTAAAGAGCAAAAACATGAAATTGGGACATAGGAAAGTAGGGGTAGATTTGGGAAGACTTAAAGAGAGGGTTAAGTATGAATATGATCAAAATATGTTATATGAAATTCTCAAAGATTAATAAAGGTATTTATTTTTAAAAATTAAGTTAATCAATAAAAATATTTAATGTGATTATTAAAGGAAATGTGTCAAATCTGTTAAGTATTGGCTTGTGATCATATCTATTTTTTTTTTTCAAGTGAAAAAAGTCCAAGGTAGGGAGACCTTAACAGGCTGCCTGAGAGTACCTGGATCCAGCCTCCACCTGATGGAGATCTTTCCCAAATCATACCATGCCCAACCGCCTGCATTGGGACCACATGAGGCCCCTCCCACTTTGCCAGGGCTAGACCTCTCTGCCCTACTATAGGGGCTGAGACCTTAGCAGACTGCCTGAGAGAGCCTAAATTGGGCCTTCCCTTAGCAAGCTATTGTAGTATGAGTGCCCACTAGTAGAGGTCCAGATGTTAGAAGGAAGCCTGAGTGGACCCTGACTTGGGCTTCTATGGGAGCTCCTGAGTAGCTGATCCAAAGCCATCAGTTCCTTCCAATATAAAATCTGAGAGAAACTGAAACCTAGACCAACCAGTTTTACATACCCAATAAGAAAACAACCAAGGCCCACCAATAATACAAACAGAAGCAGACTTCAATTCAAAAAAGGAAGGCTTGAATTTCATATCAAAATCACAAACAACAAAAGAAATGCACATTCCAAAATCACAATGGAAAAATAATAATATGGAAAACCAGAGCAGTATGTCCCCACCAAACTCCACTAATCCTATAGAAGAGTTCTACAAGGAGAGCCCCCTAGAGATAACCCAGGACACAGAATTTAAAAGAACAGTCATAAACATGATCAAGGAATTCAACGAATTTAAAAACCATACAAACAAACAACTCAAAGAACTAAAAGAAGATAGGGATAAACTTCTAAAGTAATTCACAAAATAGATAGAAACATTAAAGAAAACTCAGGCTGAAATGGAGAAGGAAGTGGAAAACTCAATAAGCCAACTTGAAACAACAGGGGAAAGCCTCACCACTAGAATGAATGAAATGGAAAACAGAATATCAACACTGGAGGATAAAGTTCAAGAACTGGACCATTCAAGCAAAGATCATGAAAAAATTTTAAAAACACAGGAATGGGGCTGGAGAGATGGCTCAGCGGTTAAGAGCACTGACTGCTCTTGCAGAGGACCCGAGTTCAATCCCCAGCACCCACATGGCAACTACGAACCATCCTTAACTCCAGTTCCAGGGGACTCTGAAGCCCTCTTCTGACCACTGTGGCATTGCACAACATGGGTACACTCACTTACATGCAGGCAATACACTCATACACATGAAAAATAAAAATAATAAATAAAATATTTTTTAAAATACACAGGAATGGAATATGCAAGAAATATGGGACACCATGAAAAGACAAAATCTGTGTATCACAGGCACAGAGGAAGGAGAAGAATTTCAGGACAATGGTATGGACCAGATCTTAAACAGGATTGTGGAAGAGAATTTCCAAAAATTAAGGAAATACATCCCCATACAAATAGAAGAAGCACCTAGAACACCAAATAGACATGACCAGAAAAAAAAACTCCCCATGGTATATCATAGTAAAAACACTAAATGTACAGAACAGAGAGACAATACTGAAGGTTGCAAAAGAAAAACAACAGCTCACATATAAAGAAAAACCAATCAGAATTACAACTGACTCATCAATGCAAACTATGAACATCAGAACAGCCGGGACCAAGGTATTCCCCATTCTAAATGACCACAGATGCCACCCAGAATACTTTACACAGAAAAAAAAAATGTCTATTATAGATGAACGGGAAAGAAAAATGTTCCACCACAAAAATAGACTGAAAGAATAGATGTCCACAAAACGAGCCCTTCAAAGAATACTTGAAACAATACAAAGAATGGAGAAAGGAACAGCTATACCCCAGGGACAGCAGAAAGAAACTAAATGAAGGTATAATTGTGGAAACACAAAATTGGACAAAGAATGCAAACAGCAACCAAAATGATGGCAACCAATACACATCTTTCAACAATAACTTTAAATATCAGTGGACTGAACTCCCCAGTCAAAAGACACAGGCTAGTTGAATGGATTAAGAAACAGAATCCATCCTTTTGCTGCCTGTAAGAAACCCATCTCACCTTCAAGGACAGGTACCACCTCAACGTGAAAGGATGGAAAAGAATATTCAAGCAAATGGCACAAAGAAACAAGACGGGGTTGCAATTCTAATATCTGTCAAAATAGACTTCGAACTAAAACTTATCAAAAGAGATAAGGAGGGTCACTTCATTCTGTTCAAAGGAACAATTAGCGAAGAAGATATTACAATCATGAACATACATGCACCAAACTCTGATGCACCCAAATTCATAAAAAACAACACTACAGGACTTTATGATGCAGATTAACCCCAACTCAGTAATAGTAGGGGACTTCAATACCCCACTGTCTCCATTAGACAGGCCAAGTGGACAAAGAGTAGACAGAGAGACATCTGAATTAAATTATATCATACAGCAAATGGACCTAACAGACATCTACTGAATATTCCACCCAAGCACCAAAGAATACACTTTCTATTCAGCACCCCATGAGACCGTCTCAAAAACTGACCACATGCTGGGGCACAAAACAAACCTCAACAAATACAAAAAATATTGAACTAATTCCATGCATTCTATCAGACCATAATGCAATAAAGCTTAAAATGAACACCAAAAGAAGCCTTAGAAACTTCACAAACTAATGGAGATTAAACAACACACTCCTGAATGATGAGTGGGCCAAAGGAGAAATTAAGAAAGACATAAAAGCATTCCTGTAATTAAACAAAAAGGACAATAAAACCCCTGGGACACTTTAAAAGCAGTCCTAAGGGAGAAGTTTATAGCTCTAAGTGCCTACATTAAAAAACCAGAAAGAGGAGTTGGAGAGATGGCTCAGCGGTTAAGAGCACTGATCGCTCTTACAGAGGACCCGGGTTTGATTCCCAGCACCCACATGGCAGCTACAAATCGTCCTTAACTTCAGTCCCAGGGGATCGGACAGCCTCTTCTGACCTCCATGGCATTGCACGACATGGGTGCAGTCACATACATGCAGGCAATACACTCATACACATAAAATAAAAATAATAACATCACAACTCTGGAAATGCAAGAACAAATGAAACCCAAACCCAGCAGAAAGAAGGAAAAACAAAAATCAGAGCAGAAATTAATGACATAGAAACAAAGAAAACATACAAAGAATCAATGAATCTAAGAGCTGGTTCTTTGAAAAGCTAAACAAGATAGATAGACCCTTAGCCCAGTTAACCAAAAGAAAGAAAGAA